GACTTAACTTTGTATCTTTTTTTTTTTTTTTTTTTTTTTGGAGACAGAGTCTCTGTCGCCCAGGCTAGAATGCAGTGCCACGATCTCAGCTCACTGCAACCTCCGTCTCCTGGGTTCAAGTGATTCTTCTGCCTCAGTCTCCCAAGCAGCTGGGATTGCAGGTACCTGCCACCATGCCCAGCTAATTTTTGTATTTTTAGCAGAGACAGGGTTTTGCCATGTTGGTCAGGCTGGTCTCGAACTCCTGACCTCAAGTGATCCTCCTGCCTCAGCCTCTGAAAGTGCTGGGATTACAGGCGTGAGCCACTGCAGCCGACCAAAAAATGTATCTACCTGTCTATAGGTTTCTTCACCTGGATATACCACAATCACCTCAATTTTATCTCATCTAAAACATAGTTACTATCTACCCTCTATTTGTACTCTTCTTCTAGTATCTCCTTGTATGACCCTATGCAAGTTGCCTTACTGTTAAATCATTTGGCCTATTTCTTCATCTGCCAAATGAGGAGCTTGGCAATTGATTAAATGGAATCAAAAAGGAAAGTGCAGGTGAAAGTTTAATTTTTAAAAAAAGCTAAAGAAACTGGACCCTGTCTCTCAACTTATGCAAAAGCCAACTCAAGAAGGATTAAACATAAGACCTTAAACTATAAAACTACTAGAAGAAAATATAGGTAAAATACATAAGGACATTGGTTCAGGCAAAGATTTTGTGGCTAAGACCTCGAAAGCACATACAACTAAAATAAAAACAGACAAATTTGACTCTATTAAATGAAAAAGCTTCTGCACAGCAAAGGAAACAATGAACAGGGTGCAGAGACATCTGCTGAACAGAAGAAAGTATCTGCAAACTATTCATCTGACAAGGGACTAATATCTAGAACATACAAGAAACTCAAACAACTCAACAAGAGAAAACACAAATAATCCCATCAAAAAGAGGGCAAAGAACATGAATAGACAATTCTCAGAAGAAGACATACAAATGGCCAACAAATATATGAAAAAAATGCTCAACATCACTAATCATCAGGGAAATGCAAATCAAAACCATAATGAGATATCATCTTACCCCAGTTAGAATAGCTGTTATTAAAAAGACAATAACAAATGCTAGAGAGGATGTAGAGAAAAAGGAACTCTCATACACAGTTGGTGGGTATGTAAATTAGTACAACCGCTATGGAAAACAGTACAGAGATTTATAAAATACACACATACACACACACACACACACACACACACACAAATAGAACTACCATATGATCTAGCAATCCCACTACTATTTGTATATCAGAGGGAGAACTGCACCTGCATGTTTATCGCAGCATTATTCACA